GCTCCCCTCCACGCCCCTCCACTCCCCCATCCATGCACCATCCACGCTCCTTCCACATACCTCCCATCTCCCCTCCTCGCCCCTCCCCTTCTCGTCCCTCCTTTGCCTGCCCCACTTGCTCCACGCCTCCTGCTACTCTCCTTTCGCTATGAGACGTTTCTCATTGCGACGCTCCGTGACGGTTCCCGTCGATTCTCTCGTTCTCACTCTCTTCCCACGAATATCTCTGAACGCACACTTTTCCCACACATTCCACTACCCCATCCCATCAAATCCCTAATACACTCCCTAACAAAGATCTGAATATCACGCCAGCTGAGATGGCTTAGCGCAAGAACGGGTGCTACTGCAGAGTCTATGCCTGGCAGATTCTAGAACTTGACGGTTGCGGATTTTCGCTACCTTCATAACTATGTTCAATTCAACAGTATTTGAAGGATGTTGCTCTAGTTGCTAGTTTTTGTCGTTTCTTCAATCAGTATCAGGCGAATGCCGCCACAATACACGCGCTATCTTCTTTTCCGCACCCATACCCTCTCCTCTTTCTCTGCACACATGGCACACAAATCTACCCTTATAAACTTAACACAACCACTCATATCATTTGATTTAATGATTGATTAGTGATTCTGGGAGCGTGAACGGCTAACGTGAATAGTTCCATAAGTGTGGGGCACTTTGTATCACGGGAGGGGGCCGCAATATTTCCCCGCTGGATGGCGAGATCTCACGCCGATCTACCCGTTGGCAGGGTTTTCATCAACCAGGTATCTTCCACCAGCGGGGCACTGCCCCAGTCGGAACAAGCCCCCAAGCTCCTGACCGGTTTCCTGACATTTGTGGTAGTGTAGTGTCCGTACGTGTGTGTTAGTGTATGTTAGTAAGGGGGTGAGGTCAGGGCAAGGAAGAAAGGTAGATCGCGCGCTGTTCGTGTCCCATTAGGGCACTACTCTGGCATTCTTCTGCAATTGATCGCAGAAACCATGGAAAGTTTCCGATGAGCAGTGGGCCTCTAGAATTCACCACCTGTAAGCATTAGAATTCGACCTCGCTGTCTCTGTAGTTGGTGTCAAAAATCCTGCCGTCGTGGGGTCTCGAATCCCAGGATCAGAGGCCTTGTAGAGAAGATCTATGACATCAATTGACGTCCTCGTCCACCTAATCCAGTGCCACACATGTCAGGTCAATCGTCAGCTTACGTGTAATTCGACGTCTGATCCAGTTGGGGAGGAAGACTTCCCTCTCCATAAATATAACGTCCACTACGGGACACTATGCGACTAATTATCACAGCAGATGACTTGCTGAAAAACAAAATATAAACAATCAATTAGCATACTCACGCACTTCGTATAGATGGCATCGTGCCTTGCCTCTCTTTTTCTCTTCATTCCTGCCAATCCTCTTGTTTCATACCTCCCTCCACAGATTTCGTCCTCCATCGCAGCACTCGCGCTTCTTTCGATTCCACAACACTCGCTCGTCGTCTCACTCACTCACTCGTCTGTCGATCCAGTTGTGTGCGGATTGGTAGCTTCGACGCAACCATTATCCAACCAAGCTCGCACCCGCCACGGTCCGAGAACTACTTGATCATTTTTGCCTCATAGGAGAACAGTAATTTCAGTCTTGAATTCCACTTCTTTTTTTCGCTCTCTTTCAAACCTATTCAATTCTACGATGCCCCTCTCCTCGCGGCGCCTTTCTCTGCTACCATCCCTTCCGTGCCACCCCATTTCACTTTGACATAACAACTACCTCCCTACGACTCATTTGCACCTTCCCCTATCTCCTTTGTGACACCGTTTCCAACAATCGCAGCCACATCCTCTCGTGAAATCATAATCTTTAAAACATATCAACTCTTCATATCTTCTCTTCCAACGACCCTCGCGCGGCGCTCGTGTTATCACATGTAGTGGTCTCGCAGCACTTCCATTGTGCAGCAACCCTTCGTGAAATAGTCCCTTCGCACGCCTCCGCCCTGAGTGGTGGGGCTTCCGCCGCCGCAGCCCTTGCAGCTTCTGCTAGCGGCCCGGGCATCCCCCTCCACGCCGCAGCACGACGCGGCCGATTTGCCCCCTCGGAGCAGACGCGCCTTGAATTCGACAGCGGCACCGCGCGCCTCGCGGTGAGCCCGAAATTGTCCGTCAGTCACATTGTTCGTCAGTCCGCCTTACTCGGAGGTAAGGCGCGCTTTTTTTGTACGACACTTAAGAAATGCCTATTGTAAGTTGTATGCCAAGCTTCGTTTGCTGTTCTTTAGTCAGTCGTATTGCCGATAGTGCTCAAAATTTACATGATAAACATGCCCGTTTATTGTTTAAATATGAGTTGCAATTATAATGTAATAGAATCACAAATAATTCAGAACAATATAAAATAAAGAAGAATGTATTTTTAAAGTACTCCAAGTTTATGTTCTTTCTATGTATAATGAAAACCATATTACTGTTTTCATTGCATATTTTGTTTCCTTATCGGGTTAGAGGTAATTATAAAGTACATTCTTATTGATAATATAATAATCAGCAAAAAGAGCTACGAACATGAGTAACAAAAAAAACTTAATTTCATATTCGTTCCATATTTAAAAAAAAAATTATTTCAAATAGTATTTAAATTGCTTAAGACGCAATGGTCATCCAGACATAAACCTGTTTTCATTTAATTCCTTGCTACTAGCTTCATTTTTCCTTTCCTGTTCACCACACTCCATGCGCCCGCAACGCTGTTACAACTTTAGTAGCCCATCGCCACCCTTTCATCGCCCATGGCATCCGCACTCAAGTCCCCCCC